ACCATTGTTTCTCCTTGTCTCATCGAATTTTGTTCTCCTCACTCTGACTATGTCAGCCTACTCCATCACTAAAAATTCCCAATTTCTCAAACCCTAAGCAACAACTCGTGTACTTCAAGATTTGCGCGTGTAGGCGTGTGGATTGGTGCTCACGTGCCTCTACACCTAGCTGAGCATAAGCCCCACCATTTTTCTTTTCAACATGTATCAGTGCTCCTAACATTGACGCCAATTGCCACCCCCATCAAATATCGCAAGATACAAGACCACTTATAGGAGTTCTATGAGATCTTTTCGAGGAGCTCTTCAAGTACAATGAAATTGAAAGCATTAATGTTTGAGACAACATGGTATGATCCTCTCCCTGATCATAATCTCAACCTCTCATTTTCTCATTCTCATGATATTTGAACATTGTCATTTTTAGGTGGGGAATGTATACGTTTAATTTAAAGAGGAAGAGCATGCTACTGATGTAGTTAGAAACCCAACTGGAAGGTTTTATGTCGATTATTTATATATTTTCTTTTGATTCTATGCGATTTCTCATTCATTATGTATTTTCAAGGTTTATGAATGCACATTATTATCTCTTTGTAGTTTGAATATTATGTTTTTTTATAGTTTGTATGAGTGTAAAATGTTTAATGTATAACATAAAAGAGTTTTAAACACAACTTGGAAGAGTGAATTATGACTACTAAAAATCGCAACAAAAGTCACAAGAACACAAATAATGAACATAAGAAAGGAATTAGGACCATCAATTTAATTTCAATAATTTTGTTTTGAATTGAGTAATTTTGCTACTTTCCAAATTAAAACCAAATTTAGTTTTTATATAAATATATTGATATTTTTATTGCAGTTGACATTTTTATTAGATATTCCTGAAATTCAATTATAAATTATTATTTATTTAAATTGAATATAATTCTTAATTTAATTATTAAATATAATATAATTATTGGAATTGTTTTAGAATATAATTATTAAATGTATATTTTAGAAATATAATTATTAACTTTATGTTTGATTTTTACTATAAGAAATAATTTCAAAAATATCTATAATTAAATAAAATATTTTTTGATTAATTTAATTTTTTTAATAAAAATATGATATTTATATAAAAATTAAATTTAGAAAGTGAGAAAATTCTTAATTAGAAAAAATAAATTAAATTGAATTAAAATAACACACAT